GATATATAGGAACAAATCTGCAGGGAAGATAAAGGGGATGTCAATATTATAGAGTGGTTATAATTGGGGTCTTTAACCATCTGAATGTAGACTGGGCCTGTGGTAGTGTTAAGAGTTGAAAGGAGCAAACGTTCTTATGTTGTGTTCAGGAAACTTTCCTGCAGACTACGGCCAGTCCAATTCGATGGAATGCACTTTTGGACCTGGTTTTTGGAAATGAGGTAGGCCAATTAGATCAAGTGTCAGTGGGGGATCAATGAGGAGATAGTGACCATTGTAACATAGTTTATAATAATGATAGAAAAACACAATGGGCAATCCAAAGTAAAAATAATTAAATGGGGAGAGCCACCTTCAATGAGGAAAGAACAGAGCTGGGCCTGATAGATTAGAACAAAAAGTTCAATCTGTAAGTGAACAATGAGTTAGTTTGAAAGAGGAGATAGTTCATGTACAGTCAACGTATATTCCCTCAAAGTGGAAAGGGAGGATAAACAAATCAAGAAGAATCAGATGAATAAGGATATAAAAATTAAAATGAAGAAGTAGAAGTGTGCTTATGACAGGTGTTAGTTAGAAAGTACAATTGAGAAACCAGAAGATTACAGAAGTTTAGAAAGGAGGTGAAAAAAATGGGGAAGCAAAAAGGGATTATGAGAAAAAGACTGGAGACCAACATGAAGAGGAATCCCAAAACCTTCCATAGGCACATCAAAAGGGTGGTGAGGGAAGGAGTAAATCAGCTTCGGGATCAAAAAGGAGATTTACACATGGAAGTAAGAGCTACAGCTGCAGAGTTAAATTTACATCTATCTTTATCAAAGTGGTAGATGCTACCAGGGCTATGGGCTCAAAATTGATAAGGAAGAAGCTCGCATAAGCTATCAATATTTAAAGTTGCTAAAGAACTGAGACCAGATGCAGCACATCCAAGCATGTGGAAGGAAACGAGAGTGGAAATGTAGGGGCACTGTCCATAGTCATCTACGCTTCCCTAGACTCAGGAGAGATACCAAAGAACTGGAGAATTGCAGACATTACTCACTTGTTCAAAAAAGGCTAGACCCAGCAATTACATACCTGTCACTTTAACTTCAGTGATGGGAAAGCTTCTACAAACAATTATTTAGAATAGCATCAGTAGTCTCATGGAAAAGATGGGTTGTTTTGCAAAGACAGTATGGATTTCTAATTTTAATTTGCTGGAGTTTTTGAAGAGGTAACAGAAAGGATCAATGAGGGTAAATCTGTAGAGTGGTTCACATGGATTTCCAAAAGACATTCAATAAAGTGCCACATAACACTGTGAGCAAAGTTGGGACGATAAGCAGAATAGCTTCCTTACACACTGTAACAATGAAATATCACATTCAGAGCACAGTTGTGTTTTAATACTTGTTATGTTTGATCCTGCTCACTAACAAGGATAGGACTCTTGTTGACAGGTCACTCAGATCAGTTCATGGGTCATTGAACAATAGTGGTTTCTTGTTGAAAATATAGGGAAGGAGGCAGAAGTGAGAATGCTAAAGGCTGTACCAACAATAGATTTTTAAAATTTCATTCATGGGATAGGGGCATCCCTGATAAGAAGGGAGTTCCAAGATTGTGACCCAGTGACATGGAAGGAATAGTGAATGGACTAATGGAAGGGGAAATTCACAATGGACAGTAGGGAGGGAAGGTTGTTTGCAAAAACTAAGAGGCACAGTTGGAGAAGGTTGCAGAAACAGGATAGATGGTGTTTGGAGCTCAGTTCAAGGTTAAACAGGAAATCAAGGTTACACACTATAAGTAAGTAAACAGCTCAGAAAGAAAATGGAATGGAGGTGGAATGGAAAAGATTGGGCTGAATAGGATGACCTTACACAAAGAAATTACATCAGCGAAATATGCATTTCAATCCAAGAAGACCATGGCAGCACTTAACCTACCAGGTGATCATGGGCTAGTGACATTTGGCCACAAGGATGAGGAAATTGTAAAAATACGTTTAAATAAAAGCTAGCAAAAGCAAGTAAGAAATTGTAAGATCCAGTGAAATTGAATTTTTGGGGAAAAGAAGCAAAACTAAAGTTGAGCAAGTGACTTGAAAGTTTGATTAAGTACTTAAATGCTACAAATATATTTATTAATTATATAAGAGAAGGATAGTGTGACCTCAACTTCTGTTTTGAGTGACACTACGGAGCAATAGCTGGTACACAGAAAGATTTGTTTTCCTATAATGACATCTTGTGGCTGGAACATGATCTTCTTAGAAATTTATATGAATTGGAGATGCAGATTTCAGTAGAAAAGAATAAAAATAATTTATTACATTCCATAAGTTTTTTTTAACTTTGAGCTCTAGTTTGGATTTAGAATTTTATGTGCTTTTTTAAAGAAAACTCAGAAAAAAGGAAAAATGATTTTAATAGTACTTTTCAAAACACACAGGATGTCTCAAATGCTTCAGTCAATTAAGTACTTCTGTGAAGTGTGATCACTGTTTCAATATTGGAAATGTGGCAAGCAATTTGTGCACAGCAAGCTTCCACAAATAGGAATGTGTTAAGCACTAGATAACCTAAAATAACTTTTGTGGTGTTGGCTTAGGGATATATTTCCAGGAGACCAAGAATAAATGCCTTTTGTGTCTTTGTAGGATCTTGCACATCCACCTTAAAAGGTTGATGGTACCTCTGTTTAAAGAATCATTGAACAAACTAAGAGGATCTGCATGTTAAAAAGAAGTAGCAAATTAAAAGCAGCTCATGTTTCCTGTTACCTTTGCAACCTTGAACTAATAAACCATCGCAACCAAAACTATGGTTATTGAATACCCCAAAAATATGACATTTAATATACTGAGAATTTTGTCAAGAGTTTCTGCCAAAAGAAAAGTTATATGGCTTCTGTTGCCACTTTGTAAGTCGCTTTGGGGTTAATCTTATCAGAAATTGGATGGGTGTCAATTTCTGGGAATTTCACGAAGGGTCTCTTTCCATAAGTACTAGCGAGTTTTTGCATGTTCTTCTCTGCAGCTTGTCTCATTAGCTATAACTACTACTCTGTGGAACCCCTCTTGCACTATCGTGCGCTCAACAATGGTGACAGTACTCACCACTGCTGGTACTTCCCAAGCTTCCCAGCGCTGGTGCCATTTTCAGGCCAGGATGCTCACCAGGCCACTTACTGGCAGCCAAGAGCTACCATCACAGTGTATGTAGTGGGAGGAGAACCAAACAGAGGCAATTCTGCGTACAACAAGGTGCAGGGCTGGATGAACACAGCAGGCCAAGCAGCATCATAGGAGCAGAGAGGCTGACGTTTCGGGCCTAGACCCTTCATCAGAAAAGGGGGAGGGGAAGGGGGTTCCGAAATAAATAGGGAGAGAGTGGGAGGCGGATAGAAGAGGGATAGAGGAGAGGATAGGTGGAGAGGAAACAAACAGGTCGAAGAGGCGGGGATGGAGCCAGTAAAGGTGAGTGTAGGTAGGGAGTTAGGAAGGGGATAGGTCAGTCCAGGGAGGACGGACAGGTCAAGGGGGCGGGATGAGGTTGGTCGGTAGGAGATGGAGGTGCGGCTTGAGGTGGGAGGAGGGGATAGGTGGGAGGAAGAACAGGTTAGGGAGGCGGGGACGAGCTGGACTGGTTTTGGGATGCGGTAGCGGGAGGGGAGATTTTGAAACTTGTGAAATCCACATTGATACCATTGGGCTCTGATGAAGGGTCTAGGCCCGAAATGTCAGCCTCTCTGCTCCTATGATGCTGCTTGGCCTGCTGTGTTCATCCAGCCCTGCACCTTGTTGTCTCGGATTCTCCAGCATCTGCAGTTCCTACTATCTCTGATTCACCCCCTTCCCCTCCCCCTTTTCTGATGAAGGGTCTAGGCCCGAAACTTCAGCCTCTCTGCTCCTATGATGCTGCTTGGCCTGCTGTGTTCATCCAGCCCTGCACCTTGTTGTCTCGGACTCTCCAGCATCTGCAGTTCCTACTATCTCCAATTCTGCGTACACTTAGGTGGCAGAGCTAACATTTCATTGCAAACACAAGCTCACATTCGTAAAAGTTTCCAATCATCACATATGATTGACAGTCATTGTAACTGAATTTATAAGAACTAAGCAACACAGGTTACCCATCTTTAACATCATCCCATCTTAGAACCCCATCTACAGGAGTGCTATTCTTCCCCCTAATGTCCAGCGTGGTATGATAGTTTTTATTGTTCAATCTGGAGGTATCTCATGCTGGAAAGCATTCAAATGGTTGAAAATATTAGTCAGTAACAGCAAAAGCAAAAATGAAGTAAAAACAAAGAAAAGCTGTATTTGCTTCTGGGAATCACATTGTTGCCTGCCTCACAATAAATAACAAATTTACAATCGATGAATGATCACTGCATCAAAATCATATCTATTGGAACCAGGTATCAAGTACGTTCTCTGTAGTTTGTTGCACTGCTGCATCATGCAGAAATAGATGTTCCTGTTGCTCAGGATCTTCCTTGGAAGTCTGGTGCCTCCCTCCCAGCTCCTCAGTGTGCATCACATTTTATCTTTGCCTGCTCCAAACATGATTATGCCAGGACTATGCAGCACACTCTGCCTGGATTAATCCCCAGACTGATCCAAACATCAGAACCTTAACTTCAGCCAGCCTAACATCTGCTCAGTGATCGCTGTAGTTGAGAAATAATCTACATTGTATTTACTATTTGCCTCACTCAGGCAATAAATAAATGGAGTTATTGGTCAGAGAGTACAGTCTGTAGCGCTTTGCACATGTAGGATGTCAGCTCTGGCAACATCTACTGTCCAAGCTGCAGCACTGACCTTGTGACAAGAAAATGAGATGAAGTGTGTGATCGGGCACAAGTTGGATCAGATACAGCTTTGATACATTTGTAGGCTGAGGATTAAGAGATTCCGCCCAGATCAACAGTGGATCCTCAGAATGAAACAGTTGCATGAAAGCTGTCACCTTGATGGCGATTTGAATAGGATGACCACTCACCCTTTCAGGTTGCAGGTCCCGCTCCAGAAGATCCGCAGTCTGTGGCAGCATTGCGCCTCATTCAACCGGAGGATGATAGATCCCAGGCCTCCTGTACATCCAGCAGGATGTCCCTGAGGGAAACGTCAGCTGTGACCTCTGCATGGTGAGGTCATATGGCAGCTTACAAAGGTTGCTGTTGGTCCTGGGCTTTCTGGTCTGTTCCCCTCAATTTCTCTGTCTTTGTAGCACCACAGCCACTCCTGTAGCTTGATCAATTGGTCACAGTTCCGAACAATGCAATATCTGAAACAAATGGACAGGTTAGCATAAGACCTCCAAACTTTAAGATGGGTGGATCACAGAATGATCCTTTGACATAGGGAACACTATTCCATGAAAGGCAGCACAAGCCACTTCATGCAAAATACAGTGGGAGATAGTAATTAATGCAGATACCTGCCTTTAGTCTGAGGGCTAGGGTGGTCAGTCTCGGGGTAGAGCTGCCAGGCCAGGGGCAGGGCTGTCAGTCTGGGGGTGAGACTGTCTGCGGACAGGCCTGTCAGTCTGGGGGAGGGGTTTTAAGTCTGGGAGCGACGCTGTCAGTTGAGGTAGCCTGTCAGTTAAATGTTTTTAAGGCAAAGATGGATCGATTTTTGAACAGTAAAGGAATTAAGGGTTATGGTGAGCAGGCGGGTAAGTGGAGCTGAATCCACAAAACGATCAACAGTGATCTTATTGAAAGGCAGAGAAGGCTCCATGGGCCAGAAGGCCTACTCCTTCTCCTATTTCTTATGTTCTTATCTGGGGAGAGGGGGCTGTCAATATGGGTGTGAACCTGTTTGTCTGTAGGCAGGGCTGTCAGCCTGCCAAATCCTCAAACACATCCGCCAACTCCAATTAGATCCCAACACTCAGAACATCTTCCATTTCCCATGCCTCTCTGCCTTCCGCAAGTACCATTCCCTTTGCCACTCCTTTGTTTGTGCCACAATCCCCACCAACAAATCTAAGCCCCCCCCACCCCGGTACCTTCCCCTGTAACCGTAAAAGGTACAACACCTGCCAGTACACCACCTCCCTCACCTCCATTCAGGGCCCTAAACAGTCCTTCCAGGTGAGACAGATCTTTACCTGCAACTCCTCCAACCTAGTCTATTGCATCAGTGCTCCCGACGTGATCTTCTCTACATCGGTGAGACCAAACGTAGACTAGGTGACTGTTTCGCCGAGCTTCTTCATCTGGCCCGAAACGGCCAGCGTAACCTTCCGGTCACCGCCAATTTCAACTCCCCGCCCCACTCCCCCTCTGACATGTTCGTCCTCAGCCTCCTATAGTGTCACAGCAACTCAGAACACAAATTTGAGGAAAATACCTTATCTTCCGCCTGGGCATCCTACAGCCGGAGGACTCAACACTGAGTTCTCCAATTTCAAATAACCTTCCCACCCATTCCCCAGCTTCCTTTCCAACCCCACCTCCTCCCTTCTATTCCACCTTCTGACCATCCCTTCCAGCCACCCCTCCCATCGAACAACAAGGTCGTACATACCACCCAGTGTCTACCCATCACCACTATTCCACCTCCTGCCCATTCTTTATCGGCAGGTCCCCCTACCCCCACATCCAGTCCAGAAAAGCGTTATACCCAAAACGTTGACTACACCTTTCCTCCAGATGCGGCCATGACTTGCTGTGTTCTTCCAGCCTCCTGTTTATCTACGTTGTCAGTTGAACGGTTAGGCTGGAGGCGGGATTATCACTATAGGAACGGGCCTGTCAGTCTGGAGGGCGGGGCTGTCAGTTCGGGGGCGGGACCATCCGTCTGGGGGCGGGGCCGTCAGTCTGGGGGCGGGGCTGTCAGTTCGGGGGCGGGCTGTCCGTCTGGATGCGGGGCCATCAGTCTGGGGGCGGGGCTGTCAGTTCGGGGGCGGGGCTGTCAGTCTGGGGTCAGGGTTTGTCGTGTAGGGTCTGGGTTTGTCAGTTGATCGGTCAGACTCGGGAGGTGTTATAAGGTGATCGGTCAGACTCGGGTGTTGACTGATAGATGATGGCCGTGCGCTTGTTTGTTTTGCTGCTGTTTGTGTTGACGTCCTTTCGGGGCTCGATCTCGATTCCCCCTCACGATGAAGTGGCCCGAATGGCCCGGTACATCGCTTCAAAATCTCCCCTCCCCCTACCGCATCCCAAAACCAGTCCAGCTCGTCCCTGCCTCCCTAACCTGTTCTTCCTCCCACCTATCCCCTCCTCCCACCTCAAGCCCCACCCCCATCTCCTACCTACTGACCTCATCCCGCCCCCTTGACCTGTCCATCCTCCCTGGACTGACCTATCCCCTCCCTAACTCCCTACCTACACTTACCTTTACTGGCTCCATCCCCGCCTCTTCGACCTGTTTGTTTCCTCTCCACCTATCCTCTCCTCTATCCATCTTCTATCCGCCTCCCACTCTCTCCCTATTTATTTCAGAACCCCCTTCCCCTCCCCCTTTTCTGATGAAGGGTCTAGGCCCGAAACGTCAGCCTTTCTGCTCCTATGATGCTGCTTGGCCTGCTGTGTTCATCCAGCTCTGCACCTTGTTGTCTCGGATTCTCCAGCATCTGCAGTTCCTACTATCTCTCGTCCATGAGTCTGACTGGTGCTCGATGGCCACCATCCCCACCCAGGAATCGATCCAGGGTCTGCCTTTCTCCAATGTTTTCTCGGTGAGCGATGGGCCCTTGGAGAAGGGCACAGGTGGACCTTACCTGTACCTGACCCCATTGGAAATCTCGGTGCACGACATCCAGGTGAGAATTGGAATTAGCTTTTATTAGAATTAGCTTTTATTGTCACATGCACTCACTCGCATGAGTGCAGTGAAACGTTTTCAAGCAGAGGATGCTGCAGCGCAGATTAACGAAGCCAGTAGGAGATTCATTATTTCTCATTGCACCTCTTTAACTGTGATACTAGTCCTGCTCACATTGAACATTTTGTACATTTGAAGACATGTTTTCTCTTTCCAATGCGGCTTTTGAAACGAAAAATTGAGAATGCCACAGTGGCAAGGAAATAACTCGATGGGGTTACATAGTAAATGCAAAATACAATTTATATAAATGAAACTTGCATTTATATTGTGCTTTATTCACAAATACCAGGCATCTCAAAATACTTTATGGTCAATGAATTACTTTTACAGTAAGAATTGAAGGTGCTGGCATCACCTGCGGAGAGAGAAACAGAGTTAGTGTTTCGAATCCAATATAATTTAATCATAGACAAAAACAGAAATTGCTGGAAAAGCTCAGCAGGTCGAGCAGCATCTGTGGAGAGAAATCCCCGAGTTAACGTTTCGGGTGGAATGACCCTACCTCAGAACCATTATTCAGAAGTACGTCAGAAGTACTTTGCAGTGCAGTCCTCTACGATAGCAATCATGATAGTTTGAGCCCAGCAAGTTCGCACAACAGCGTTGTGACAACGGAAGGAATGTTAACTGAGGGGTAAAACTTGACAAGGATACTTGGGTACTCTTCTTCGAGCTGGTATCAAAGAATCTTTGAGAGCAAGCAGCCCAGGGCGGGACGAAGTCGACTGGAATGGGAATAAAACTGCCAATAGCAGTAAGATCAAAAGGGAACTTCCTCAGATATATATTGGAAGGAAAATTAACAAAACAAGACGGCAGGAGTTCTGTGCTAACATTCAGCCATTTAAAGAGTGAATGATCCATTTGTGAAGAATAAATTTTATTCTTTTTCGTCACCAAGTCACCCTATTTTTACTTGTGCACAGTAAGCTGGCTGTGGCAAGCCAGCTCGGAGTCAGTCCCCTGACGTGTTTTTTTTTCTTATTCCCCACGCTACAGCTGTACAGCAGTAATGCTTATTTTTCCCCACAGCACTGGTGTTATGTGTGTTAGTGGAGAAACTCAGTAAAGACACCATGTGCAAAAGACTTTATGCAATATTTCCACCACCAGGAAAACACCCATGTGCCCCGGGAACCAGTGACAAACAAAGCCCAATAACGGCAATGCTGACATCAAAAAAAAGCGAAGGGGGAGGATAGGGATTAAATCGAAACAGAATTGGAGGGGAAAATAAAGCACTCCACTCACTCCACTACCCCCCCCTCCTATTTTTCTGGAAAGTGTACTGAAGTTATAATACCAATACTTAAATAGTATTATCACCAAAACCCAGAAAAAATGTTTTTAACTTGGAAATACAAGAGTGAATAAATGGTAGCCAAAAATAGATCTATTAAAGGCAAACCATGTCTAACAAATCTGATGAAATTTATTGATTGTAAAATGGAAGGCTTGCTGAAGTTAGTGCAATTGATATAGTGAAAAGTCTTTGGATTAAAATGACACAAAATAAACATTTTAACAAATTTAAAGCCAATTGGACTGAAAGGTCATTGGCAGCAAGGATACAAAATTATCTTAAGAGACAGAAAGCAGAGCTTAGTGGTGAACAGTTGTGTTCCAGTCATTAGGTCTCCTGTAGGGGTTGTATGAAGACCATTGGACCTTTTCATTATATAGACTCATAGAATCATAGAGTTGTACAACATAGAAACAGACCCTTTGGTCCAACTTACCCATGCTGACCAGATATCCTAAATTAACCTAGTCTCATTTGCCAGCATTTGGCCCATATCCTTCTAACCCTTTCCTATTCACGTACCTTTCCAGATGCCTTTTAAATGTTGTAATTGTATCCGCTTCCACCACCTCTGGCAGCACATTCTAAACACGTACTACCCTCTGTGTGAAAAAGTTGCCCCTTAGGTCCCTTCTAAATCTTTGCCTTCTAATCGTGAACCTATGCCCTCTAGTTTTGGACTCCCCTACCCTGGGAAAAGACCTTGGCTATTCACCCTATCCATGCCCCTCATGATTTTATGAACCCGTATAAGGTCACCCCTCCGCCTCTGATGTTCCATGGAAAATCGCCCCAGCTTATTCAGCCTCTCCCTATCACTCAAACCCTCCAGTCCCAGCAACATTCTTGTTTTTACCACCCTCTCGAGTTTAACATCTTTCCTATAGCAGGAAGACCAGAATTGAAAGCAGTATTCCAAAAGTGGCCTAACCAATGTCCTGTACAGTCACAACATGACATCCCAACTCCCTATTCTCAATGCACTGACCAATAAAGGCAAATGTACCAAATGCCTTCTTCATTACCCTGTCGACCTGTGACTACACTTTCAAGGAAGTATGAATCTGCACCCCAATGTCTCTTTGTTCAGCAACACTCCCAAGGACCCTACCATTAAGTGTAAGTCCTGCACTGGTTTTCCTTACCAAAATGCAACACCTCACATTTATCTAAATTAAACTCCATCTGCCACTCCTCAGTCCATCTGATCAAGGTCCCATTGTTCTGAGATGATCTTCACTGTCCACTGCACCACCAATTTTGGTGTCATCTGCAAACTTACTAAGCATACCTCCTATATTTACATCCAAATCATTTATATAAACAACAAAAAGCAGTGGACCCAGCACCAATCCTTGCGGCACACTGTTGGTCACAGATCTCCAGTTCCAAAAAACAACTCTCCACCATCACCCTCTGTCTCTTACCTTCAAGAGATTTTTGTATCCAAAAAGCTGGCTCTCCCTGGATTCCATGCAAACTAACCTTGCTAACTAGTTTACCATGCAGAACCTTGAACACTTTGCAGAAGTCCATGTAGACAACATCCATCACTCTGCCTTCATCACTTCTTCAAAAAAATTCAATCAAGTTTGTGAGACATGATTTCCCAAGCACAGAGTCATGTTGACTATCCCTAATCAATCCTTGCCTTTCAAAATACATGTAAATCCTGTCCGCCAATATCCCCTCCAACAACTTACCGACCATTGATGTCAGGCTCACTGGTCTATAATTTCCTGGGTTTTTCTTACCACCTTTTTTAAAAATAATGGCACCACCTTAGCCAACCTCCAGTCTTCCGGCACCTCACCCATAGCTATCGATAATACAAATATCTCAGCAAGGGACCCAGCAATCACTTGTATAGCTTCCCACAAAGTATTGATCTGGACATTGGTTAGACAACTTATTTCCAAACTTTGCAAAAGCACAACTTAGGAAACAGTGAAACAGATAGTGGAATGATATGGGTAGACACTTGACAGATTAAATTTGAGAAGTGAAGAGGTGCATTTTTAGAAGAAGAATGAGGTGGGCCAATATATGCTAATTGCCATGGTTTTAAATTGGCTGCAAGAATAGAAACGCAGGGTTCACACACATAAATCTTTGACTGCGGCAGAACAAATTGATGAAAGCTATTATGCATATGAGCATGATAGACCCTTAGAGTTCAAAAACAAGAAACCTGTGTTATCAACTGGCCATTGGGTTTCTAATCTGAGCACCACACTTTCAGAAAGATGTCAGACATTATAGAAACCACAAATAAGTGTTCCCCGAATTAGACCAATGGTGATTTTAGTTATGTGGGTATATAGAAATATTGTGATTATTTGCCTATAGCAGAGAAATTTAATGGGAGAAAGTTTTTAACAATTGAGTGATTTTTACTGTGAAGAAGAAACTGTCTGTTGACAAGGTGATTAGTAACCAAATGATATAGATTTAAGGTAATTGTCAAAAGATCAGAGGGTAGGTGTGAAAAATATTTTGGAAAAGAGTTATGATTTGGAATGCACTGCACAATAGGGTTTTTGGAACAGATTTAGTAGTCAATTTCAAAAGGAAGTGTGAAATATATTTGAGATGCGAAATTTTGTAAGGATATGGAGCAAGAACAGAAGGCTGGAACTAATAATTAACTCTTTCAAAGATTCAGACCAGATGGACAGTAAGATTCTATGGTCCTATAATTCTATATTCCTGTGAATAATTTGACATCTGATTTCTTTTCATTATCACTACCTCACCTTTTAATTTCATTGTAGGCTAATCCACAAGTATCCCCGGCTATGACGTTGGCAGGGACAGACTACTGTAGCAAACAAAAGTTTGATCCCCAAAGCCCACTTTGTTGTCGTGTGATCCTCTCTGGAAGAATTTTGGCAGTATGCTGTAATTTACTACAAGACGTTCTGTTCCTTCCCCTTTCTCCCATTTTTAGAACAATGTCTTCAGTTGGCTGAGCACTTTCTGCTCTATGTTCTCTGTATTCTAATTGAATATTTGGAGGCATGCAACATTAACTCCTGCAACAATGGTCTGGAAAAGCCAATGGCCAGATAGTTGTTGGAACAGCACTGATTGGAGTTAGGTAAAATCACCATGAAGAATCCCTGACACACCAAACTGCATGGGAATTGCCTAAGAAATTGAAGATTCTAATGGTCAATCTTTGTGTCTGAAACCCTTCAAAAAGGATCCATTAAACGCAGAGAATTTGGAGAGTTTCTCTTTAGTGTAGTTAATAGTTACCTAGGAAATGTTAAACTATTTAAAAACCTAGGATAACTACTAAGTTGAACCACCGACTCGCCATGTCACTCCCACCCCCCCACCCCAACTACATCAGCCCTGATCCCTTGCTTTCCCTGGACTGCTGACAACCAGCTTCCTCCAATGCCAAGCCCAGCCTGAATCAATCCCCACACCAGATATGACATTCTATCGACCCCCTACTGGAGCTAATGACTCCCGCAGAACATAACACACCCAACTTCACCAGAACTCCCTTGGAGCCTGACCTACCCTAAGTATTCCATCACTTAAATGGCATGCAACCTACCTAGTGCTATAACCCCTTCACCAACTGACACCCTTAACCCCATACTTATCACAGTAGCTGTCAAAGTTGCTGGCTGTGTTATTAGATATTTAGTTCATAGAATTCTGACTGCTGCAAAAGGGAATGTGGTTTGACGTCCCCATCTATGCTGCACTATGAGGGAATCGTTTGTTTTCAATGTGTTTGCATTTCTGAAGGAGCTGAGATTGGAATTCCCAATTAGAAATACACAGCACAGTGCTAATGGAAAAAAAGAGTGCATGACAATCTGACTGTGATCGACTGTTTGGAACATCCAGGCCAGCATTTCTCCCACAATTGTGTGATTGAGAGGGAATTCAATGAATTGCCAGTAAATTAACCCTGAATTGCACTTAGGTGAAAACGTTTGATGCTTTGTGCTTTTAGTTTTGCAAATTTATTTCTCCCAGTATGATGAATGGAAAATTATTTCTGTTTCCTTCAGATTGTGGAGAGGATGAATTTTCTATACATTAATTTCTTAGGTGAACAGCACAGAAATTGACGTTGCAAAAGAAGCTCTCTTCAGCCGTCATCCAGCAATGCCTGACTGGCCACATGATCATGGATGGTACTTTGCCAAGCTCAACATTACCAACATTTGGGTCCTGGATTCCTATGGTGGAATTAAAACAGTGACACCCCAGGAGTACTACAAAATTAAAGGCTGAATATGAAAGGAATTTAACTGGTAAGAGCTTCCTACCTTCTAACAGTTTGTAGTGATTGGTCAGATCCTACTTTAAAATATCGTCCTGGTCCCTCTGCAAAGCTACCCAAACAGAGAAGCAAAGCCAGTAGTTATTTGTTTTGTACCTAATGAAACAGCTTTGCTTAGAGCAGTAGATACATGCAAGCACCAGCAACTGCGAGTTCCCCTCCGAGCTACTCACTATCCTGACTTTGAGACATATCACTGTTCCTTCAGTGTTGTTGGGTCAAAATAATGTAATTCCCTCCCTAATGACATTGAGGGCTTACCCACAGTACATGACTGCAGCGGTTCAAGAAGGCAGCTCACCACCACCTTCTCAAGGACAACTAGGAATCGGCAACGTGTGCTGACCCAACCAATGACTTCCACATCCCACGAGTGAAAAATAAATTTATTGCATTACCCTCACCAACCCTCTTTTGCTTGGTCAATGATCTCAATCAAGTTAGCTGACATTTATATTACACTCTGTGAGGAAGTATTATTAGACTGGCAGACTTTGCATTATAATCTCTCACAATGCTATTGCAATTTGTAAGTTTTAAAGTTTGTGAGTCACAGTTCACCCGATGTAGGCAGTTGAGAATAATGACTTTGGTAGTTTTTTAAGAGTCAATTATTTTTTATCACACATAGTCTAAATAGATAGGAAAAGCATATGATCTGTGAAAACTAATCTCAAAGGAGTATGAACAGATGGCCCAGAGGGTGTTGGTCTTTGCAACTAGTGGCAGCAGTATTCTGATCTCCAGCAAAAGTATTAACGAAATCTTTCTCCGGTCTTCCTTCATATTCTCTGGTCCATCTCCCATCTGAAGAAGGCAATTGTCTGATGACAACTGTCCCTGTTTATTAGTGTCCCTTAATATTCCTGGAGGCTGGTTGTTTATCCTACACAAATCAGTTGCTCATATCCATCTACAATAAATACAGGATAGGTACACAAGCTGTTAAGAATGGGTCACCTCCTTCTTGTTCATTAATTTAGCTTAAGTCACATTTTAGATTACCATATGATGTGGTCTGTTAGTTTTCGCTTATTGACTACAAGGGACCAATGCTTGGAGTCTAGTACCTTCTACACAGCTCGTCATGAAGCACAGTGTTTGTAATCTTTGTTTTGCCTTGGTTCCTGACTACTTTGAATTCTGCTTTAACAGCAAAGAATTCTAATTTTTACAGCATAGGAGAGAGCACAAATGAAACTAATTATATGAGAATTCTGTATGATAGAGACAAGTTTCTGCCCAAACCGTTGACTTTCCTGTTCCTCTGATGCTGTCTGACCTGCTGTGCTTTTCCAGCTTCATACCTATAGACTCTGGCTTCTAGCATCCGTAATCCTTATTGTGTACAAACAACTTATGCAAGTCCTTGTTTCTTACAGATACAAACAGTGCCTGGGGAACAATATTTGAACCTATTCAAAATTAGAATTTTAGTGGTGTTAACATATTGGATAACCCACAAATCATCTACCTCGCAAATTTCAGTTACTAGTGGTGTACCTCAAGGATCTGTTTTGGGGCCACTGCTGTTTGTCATTTTTATAAATGACCTGGATGAGGGCGTAGAAGGATGGGTTAGTAAATTTGCGGATGACACCAAAGTCGGTGGAGTTGTGGATAGTGCGGAAGGATGTTGCAGGTTATAGAGGGACAGAGATAAGCTGCAGAGCTGGGCTGAGAGGTGGCAAATGGAGTTTAATGCGGAAAAGTGTGAGGTGATTCACTTTGGAAGGAGTAACAGGAATACAGAGTACTGGGCTAATGGTAAGATTCTTGGTAGTGTGGATGAGCAGAAAGATCTCGGTGTCCATGTGCATAGATCACTGAAAGTTGCCACCCAGGTTGATAGCGTTGTTAAGAAGGCGTACCGTATGTTAGGTTTTATTGGTAGAGGGATTGAGTTTCGGAGCCATGAGGTCATGTTGCAGCTGTACAAAACTCTGGTGCGGCCGCACTTGGAGTATTGCGTACAGTTCTGGTCACCGCATTATAGGAAGGGTGTGGAAGCATTGGAAAGGGTGCAGAGGAGATTTACCAGGATGTTGCCTTGTATGGAGGGAAGGTCTTATGATGAAAGGCTGAGGGTCTTGAGGCTGTTTTCATTAGAGAGAAGAAGGTTAAGAGGTGACTTGATAGAGACATACAAGATGATCAGAGGATTAGGTAGGGTGGACAGTGGGAGCCTTTTTCCTCAGATGGTGATGGCTAGCACGAGGGGACATAGCTTTAAATTGAGGGGTGATAGATATAGGACAGATGTCAGAGGTAGGTTCTTTACTCAGAGAGAAGTAATGGCGTGGAATGCCCTGCCTGCAAAAATAGTAGACTCGCCCACTTTAAGGGCATTTAAATGGTCATTGGATAAACATATGGATGATAATGGAATAGTTTAGTTTAGATGGGCTTCAGATTGGTTTCACAGGTCGGCGCAACATCGAGGGCCGAAGGGCCTGTACTGCGCTGTAATGTTCTATGTTCTATGTTCTATGTTCTATGTTCCTATTTTACATTTATTATTTATCCTCATGATTTTGACTAAGTTCCATCATTAAAATGTCCAGTAATTGGTATTAGTTCTGGCCAATCTAAAACGTGCAAGCATTGTGCAAAATACCTGTACATTTGATTCAATTGACATGTGTTCAGCACTCATTTAAGCTGGAGCTCAAAGATCTTACGAAAGACTAACAGCAATTATACCTAATTTGCGTTCTACTTCATTTCATTAATACGTTTCTCCCATTTATATGAAGGCAATGTAAATGTATTCATTCTTTAAATTTCAGGTAACATCTGGTTGCTTATTTTAGGTAAAAGAAAATTAGGAATGCTTGTGATCAGAATATTGGATTTTTCCAGATTTCCCTCAACTGAAAACTGCTGCATTGCTGGAAGGGAGCTTCTGCTATCTTGAACCAGCTACAGAACTGAATGATAAGTGATTCTCTATATTTTTTAAGAAAGTAATGCTTGCATTATCTTGCAATTTTGAAGATATTACACTTCTGTAGTATATTCTGTAGTTCTTCTAAAGTGGGAGGTGGAGTAAAGATTTAACAAAATATTTTTTAATATCATAGAACTGCACAAAGATTCTATAATATGTAATGGGCTGGAACAAAATTGCTTACAATTAGATTTTTCTATAAACAACAATGTATAAAGTTGAAAACAAACTACAATTTGCAATGTTTTGCGAGTTTGCAATTAATCAATGGATTAATCTCAAAAGATTAATCTTTCTAAATTTATCAAAAATAACTATCTCAAAATAAATATAAATCAGGGAGAAGTATATTGATTCAAAAACACTGACTATGGTAACATTCTTTTTACATGGTATTGCTTGTGTTCATTTCAATATTGCATGAGAAAGTATTGTATTTGAAACATTTCCTACAAATGACTATTTTTGATTAAAAATGTAAATCTGAAAAGTATTTTTTATTAAATCCTTTCAATTCTTCAGCATGTAATTCAGGTTCCCATGTCTTTTTTGTGTATTTCTCTCGTGGTCCGTTTTTAATTAAGTGGACAGTGAAGTTGAAATTTTCTTCTAATATGGTAAGATCATAAGAAATAGGTGCTGCAGTAAGCCATTTGGCCCGTCGAGACTGCTTATGAGACTGCACAAGGTCATGGCTGATCTGATTGTGGTCTTCACCTTTTAGTTTGTTTCCAAAGTAGCAAGCATTCTTCCTTCATAGAAAAAATGTGTGCTTTCATTAAATATGTGACTGATTAATGCAAACTATGACTAGAAGATTTATATCACTAGGAACTGATTTTTTACATTTTAGCCCTTTTATGTCTTCAACAATTTCTCAGATTCAAATGGCACATCAAGGATTTGAACAAATAGATTGCTCCTCTTTACAAAAGAGTTCCTGCAAACAATTTTATGTTGTTTACTTTGGATGTGACTCATGTACTCAAAGAAATATCACCCAGTTATAATTGAAATTGTAGAAACAAGTGCTCAGTATTACATTGCAATACTTCTGTAATAGATTATCGGTAGATATAGTTAAATACACACAATTCCCTCTTGGCTGAAGAATCTAGAATTTGGGAATCTAGAATAATGGCTTGACTGTTTTGCGTTAGGATGAAAAATCTTTCCGTTGAGCAGGCTGTGGTGCTCTGTTATTGAGTATATTTAAAACTGAGACCTGTTAATTTTTTGACACTGAGAATTATTGGATTGGGCCGGAAAGTGAATTGAGATCATGATCAACCCCCTTGTTGAACGACAGAACAGGCTTGAGGGGTCATGTGGTCTTGTACGATTATTTTTTTTCTGTAGAGAGATCATGATCTTGCAACACCTTCCGTTACATCAAGTAACAAATGGCTACTTTTCCAAAGAGGGGAGAAAGGGAAAAGTGAAGTGTGAAGGAGAGTAATCTTTGTGTTTTATCACAGAATTCCTTGCCTCTATTTAGCTCCAAGTTTGCTCATTTTGAATGGCATTCATATAGGATTTTGTTTCCTGTTGCCTGCATTTAGAACCGATATATTTAGGAATACTGGAAACTTGTATAACATTGATTAGGAATGGTGATTTTTATGACTGTAAGAAAGACTTTTGCATCACCATTCTATTCATTTGTTTTTGTAATGTTAAAGGGGACTGTTCTGTGGTTGTATGTATGTATCCGTTGTTGAATTGTATTTCTCATTTACACGGCCAATATGGAGTCAGAGACTCAATGCAAACAGGTTACTTTTAAATGAGGTAAAGTTGAATTTGAGGCAGTAGCCAGACACAATATGTAAATAGTCTAGATAGAAACATGGGAACAGATGTCAGTCATTCGTCCCTTCGAGCCGCTCATTCATTCTGATGACCATGGCTGATCATGCAACTCAACAGCTTGAGTTCTGAGGAAGGGTCACCGGACCCGAAATGTTAACTTTGTTTTTTCCTTCACAGATGCTGCCAGACCTGCTGAGCTTTTCCACCAACTTTGCTTTTGTTCCTGATTTACAGCATCCGCAGTTCTTTCGGGTTTTTTTTCCATAGCTTGATCCTGCTTTTCCCCCATAATCTTTGATCTCTTTAGCCCCAAGTGCTATATCCAACTCCTTGAAATCATACAATATTTTGACCTTGACTGCTTTCTGTGGTAGCAAAGTCCACAGACTCAACACTCTCTGGGTGAAGAAATTTCTCCTCACCTTAGATCTAAATAGTTTATCCCATCTACTTAGACTGTGATCCCTGGTTCTGGCCTCCTCTGCCATCAGGAACATCCTTCCCACACCTGCCCTGTCGATTCCTGTTAGAATTTTATGATTTTCTATGAGACCTCTCTTCATTTTTCTGAACTCCAGCGAACATAATCCTAACTGATTCAACTTCTCCTCAGATTTAATTGTCAGTCCCGCCATCTCAGGAATCACTCTGGGAAACCTTTGCTGCACTCCCTGGATAGAAAAAAAAATGCTTCCTCAGATAAAACTGCACACAATATTACAGGTGTGATCTCAAAAAAGCCCCGTTCTAAATTCATTTGCTATGAAGGTCAATATACCACTTGACTCCTTTACCTCCTTCTGCATCTGCAGGCTTAACTTCAGTGACTGGTATACAAGAATACCCAGGTCTTGTTGCAAATTAGCAACAGGAGTAGGCCATTCAGCCTCTCAAGCCTGTTCAACCATCCAATCAGATCACGGCTGATCTGTGACCTAACTCCAAATACCTGCCTTTAGCCCAGTTCTCTCAATTCCTTTGCTTAACAAAAGTTTATCAATCTCAGATTTAAAATTAACAACTGATCCAGCATACACTGCCATTTGCGGAAGAATGTTCTAAACATCTACCACTCTTGGTATATAGAAGTCCTTCCTAACATTTCTCCTGAATGATTATTCATCCTCTTTGCTTCCTCTCTACCAACCATTTTTCTATCCATCTCAATACACTACTCCCAAGCTTAAGCTTACACACAAATCTTTTATGTGGGACTTTGTCAAAAGGTTCAAATAAACACATCCACTGGCTCTCCTACACCAACTCGACTTAGAGTTTCTTGATTTGACTGTATCAGAACCCGGATAAACAAGCAATCAAAATTAAGATTGATATCGAAAACAAATGGCTTTAACCTTATTTGAAGATGATTAGAAAGAACCTAAGAAATTATTGACCAAACTAGAAGATCAATTACTTGTGAAAATCAATTTTGGGATTCGTGGGATGGAATTTATATCATATAGGCAGTCACCAAAAGACTCAAGCAATTTGTCAGTAACTGCAGGGATGGAGGCAGGAGCTTTTCTGTGACATAACTATAAAATTGGTAATAGTATCAACACCTGCTGAAGCTTTTCAAAATGCAAAAGATCTTGATGTTGAAACTTCATTAAAAACCAGGTGGGAATATGAAGCTATCCTCACAGGGCAGCAGAGTTTTTCAAGCACGTGGTGCAGCTTCAACTATTGACTCAGTAGCCAAGGTGGCAAAGCCGACAAACCATTTGGAAGATGTGGACAACTTCATCAACAAAGATGCTGCACACCATAGCAGGGCAACTGTAAGGTGTGTGGTGTTAAAGAACAGAGGAAATCCCAATGTAAAAAACCCAGTTCTGAAAGCGTGACAAGTCATGGCAAGTCTCAACCGAATCAAAAATATGGCAGCAACAGAGAATTATACCAGACAAAGATGTGAGTGCATAACAAAACCAACAAAGCAGGCAGAATGAGAAGTGACGATGGCTAAATTTTTACGTAGGGCAGTGAGCAGCATTTCACATTGTGAACATTATGAAATCCTTAGCTGCAATTGCAGTTGTTAATATTGTGTAGTCTTGGAGGATTGGATAACAAACACTGTGGGCCAAAATTGATACTGCAATGTGCATCAATACCCTTTCTCTAAGGATATTGAAGCTTATGCACATCCAACAGAGGAAGACAACTAACTACAGATAAGTGCATATAATGGATCAGCAATTCATTGTTGGAAAGTAGGCATGGTCATCACAGGTATCTGTGGTTGTCCCCCACTCTAAAATGTATACCATTTTGGATACTGTTGCGGTGGGATGACCTATCAGGGGGTAACAGCAGCAGCAGCCAGACTGATGGTACCACGGCTGGCTTTGTTCTTAAGAAGGGAAGGACAAAGAGCACTCGAGCAGTAGTTATAGGGGACTCTATAGTTAGGGGTACAGATAGGCGCTTCTGTGGACGTAAAAGAGACTCCGGGATGGTGTGTTGCCTCCTTGGTGCCAGGGTCCAGGGTGTCTCTGAACGGGCAGAAAGCATTCTGAAGGGAGAGGGTGAACAGCTAGAGGCTGTGGTACATATTGGTACTAGTGACATAGGTAGGATGAGTGCAGCAGCAGTTCAGGGAGTTAGGTAGAAAGTTAAAGAGCAGGACCTCCAAGGTTGTAATTTCGGGATTACTCCCTGTGCCACGTGCCAGTGAGGCTAGAAATAGGAGAATAGTACAGCTCAACAGGTGGCTAAACAGATGGGGTAGGAGGGAAGGTTTCAGATATCTGGACCATTGGGATCTCTTCCAGGGCATGTGGGACCTGTACAAGAAGGACGGTTGCATCTAAACTGGAGGGGCACAAATATTCTGGCTGGGCGGTTTGCTGGTGTCACTTGGGAGGATTTAAACTAGCTTGGCAGTGGGTGTGGGAACCAAAGCAAAAATGAATGGACTGAAAGGAAACTAGAGAATAGGACCAGTAAGATTTAGAGGAAGACCAGGCAGGGTGTGGTTGCTGATCAAAGCAGGTCTGGTGGACTGAAACGCAAATGTTTCAATGTGAGAAGTGTAACAAGTAAGGCAGATGAACTTAGAGCTTGGATTAGTACTTTGAACTATGATGTTGTTTCTATTACAGTGACTTGGTTAAGGGATGGACAGGATTGGCAGCGCAATGTTCCAGGATACAGATGTTTCAGGCAGGATAGAAGGGGACATTAAAGGGGTGGGGGAGTTGCACTACTTGTTAAGGATGATATCACAGCTGTACTGTGGGAGGACACCTCAGATGGCTCATACAGCAAGGCAATATGGGTAGAGCTCAGAAGCAGGAAGGGTGCAATCACAATGTTTGGTGTTTAGTATAGGCCTCCCAACAGCCAGCGGGAGATAGAAGAACAGATATGTAGGCAGAGTTTGGCAATGTGTAAAATTAACAGGGTTGTTGTCGTGGTTGATTTTAACTTCCCATATATTGACCGGGACTCACTTAGTGCTTAGGGCTCGGATGGGGCAGAGTTTGTAAGGACCATCCAGGAGGGCTTCTTGAAACAGTATGTAGAATGTCCAAATAGGAAAGGGGCCATACTGGACCTAGTATTGGGGAATGAGCCTGGCCAGGTGGTCGACATCTCAGTAGGGGAGCAGCTCGGGAACAGTGATCACAATTTAGTAA